ATCTGGTCACCCTAGTTATGGAAAAATATAATACTTAGATCAGTATACATATTATCTCAAATATCCCAGTCTGGGATTAAATTATATGAATGTGCAAATATGGCCTATTTTCAGTCTCTAATGAACCCCCGTGAATCAAAATTGCTGTGTTTTGCAGAGCCCTAGTCTTCCGCCTCAGGCATATTCAGGGCCCACTCTTGTTTGGGAAGCACCTGGCAACTCCTGATAATCCATTCCTTTGGATGGACATTCCACTTGAAAACAGGTGAGGCAGTGAAGGTATCACGGGCAGTCTGAGCATAGGGAATGGGCACTGCTCCTGAGCATCGCTTACCTTCGTAGTATCACGGTGAAGTGTGTGTTCATGAAGAACACCTGAAGCAGAGAATTCAGGCAGCAGCTCAGTCCCATATTGTACAGCCCAATGGCTCCTGTAGGGACAAGAGGAAGTGGGGCTTAAAGCTCACATGGAGGCAAGGAGAGTAAGGGATGGTGAGAAGATGGCAAATTTCCCTTTGGGCACTTTCAGCCTATTTAACATATAGGCCCAGCATCTTCACCAGGATGGCGGAAGGGTCAAATCTACTCTTACTAAGGTTGCCAATTTTGGTTGGACACATTCCTGGAGATTTCCTCACATAACATAATCTTTAAAGCTTAATCTTTCATTCCTGAAGACTCCAGGCCAATCCTAGAGGGTTGGCAACCCTATCTTACACCCCTTTAAAATTTTAGCATTGGTTTGCCTCTGACAGCTGGAGAGAGTTGGGAGGGTGCCTCCAAAAATGAGCTCAAGCCGCAAAATCTGGATCTAGGTTAGTCTGACTTTGAAACCCATTCCCCCAAATATGTGAGGGTTGTCTGGATGAGGGAGTTTAACCAGACTTCTATGGAGCTAGGCCCTAATCACAAAATTCAGATCTGGCTTAGGGTCCGTATTTCAAAGCCCTGTCACACCAGTTCAAGGAAAAAGATTCAGGGTTCCTGTTCAGGTCTGACAGTCTATCTCCAGTATTTTAACCAATTTGCCCAGTTTCAAGGAAAGAGACAAAGCTAAAGGAGAGGAGGTAAAGAAAAGTAATTTTCACTCAGAGGTGTACGAGAAACAAAAGCTTCTGTTTTCATGGGAAGTAGGGTAAAATGGGTAGAGGTGAGATGTGTTGTCCCTATCAAGCTAATCGGCTTACGCCAGAGGCAGACACTCACAGGATTTGTATTCACTGCAGTGTTACTTTGAGCTGTTGCTTGTAACTGGACTCCCATCCACACACACAAATCTCTAGCTTGAGTTGAGTGGCGCTTTAAATTTCAGCTAGCAGGCTCATCAAAGGGCATGGGTTAAAACTCAAGTGCTGCTGCTGCTGGCGCTATTATTGCAGCTGGGACTTGGCTACCCTGTTGCTAATCCAAACAGTCTGTACAGCCAGAATGTTGTTTATCACTGTGACCACTCCCTCTAAAGCTAAGCTAACTTGAGAGGAGGTAACTGGAGTATAGAGAACTTGAGTTAACACTGCAGTGAAGAAAAGCCCACAATGGAAAGGTGAATATAGTGGGTGAGAAAGAGTAACTGCATGGGATACAACAGTATCTGCATTTTAAAAAGTGAAGAAAGCTTTTGAGAGGCTAGTCCAGTGATCTACCTTGGTGATTAGGGTCCATGACCTAGAAGTGACCCTTCAGCAAACCCAGGAGCAACTTTGATGTAGTGTGGAGGAAGATGTAACCAACATCTAACCATCCTTAACTAGAAAGAAAATCTGCCCAGTTTAGGGTTTTAAAGGGAAGTAAACAGTTGGGATCCTCAAGTAGCCCTTTCCTAAAGCACAAAGCTTTCACTTGGTACGACTCCTCCATGTGTGAATTTTAGCAAAGGGAAAAAGAATAGGAGCGAGAGAGAGAATGAGGTGAGAAGGGAGCAAGAACAACATGGAGTGAATGAGACAGAAAAAGGGGGGGGGAGGTAAAAACAATTACCATTGTTTAAGTCTGCCACACCACGGAGAGCTCTTAGCTGCTTGTCACTTCTCTCCACATCTTCCTCTCTGCCCTCTTCTCCGTCTTCCGCCTTCCTCATGCTCTGATTTAGTGCGGGCTCAGACTTTCTGCTTTTTTCTGGGCAGCCAATTCCCTGGCCCATCAACAGCACAATGCAACACAAGGACTACAGTAATACAAAAGGATCTAGAGAGACTGGAAAGATGGGCAGAATATAGTAAAGTGAGATTCATCTTAGCATTTATTATACAAACGCAGAACAGTTTTCACAATGAAGAATGTTAGTAAAATAAACATGATTAACATCATTACATGTTGGCACCGCAGAAGTATATTTGCAGGGCAGTATGAGTGGAGATCACACTGCCACTGCACATCCTGTACCTGTTTTGTGGCTAAATTAAAGACCCTGGTCTGCAGGGCTGTCTGTTAGGCATCTTTCATCAACACTAAGTTTCTTTAGACACAAAGGAAAATCGAGAGAAATGTTCAGGATCCATGTAGTCTGTCTGGCTGACTGGCCTTGTCTGGTATGCCACAGTAGTATCAGTTAGTTTATAGCCACACAGATGGAATTACAGTAATTTAGTTGCCAAAAATCTTTGAACTCCTCTTTGTTTGCCTCAAATTTTTTTATATGATCAGGAAACCAGGCTAATCCTATCATTCTCAAACAATGAAAAAGCTGAAAAACATACTCTTGATATCAAGAGTGAGGAAGCCTCAACTGTTGTACTGGCACCTAGTGTAATAAAAAATTAGTACAACTTCAACATTTTCTCTACAATAGAGTAGATACTCAATCCAGCAATTGCAGCACCACTTAGTGAGAGAACTGTGAACATTACATTTCAGGAAGGCAGGATGAATGAAGGCACAGACATCTATGGAACAAAAAGTGTTGCAACAAAACAAATATTCTTTTAACAGGATGCTGGTGTGGTTGTTAAAAATAACGTTTTCTTTAATCCAGCACAAAAGGAAAACACAATACATCATTAGGTAAATTTTCAGAAGAGTTGCCTACCTCTTGCAGGCACAAATCTCAGTGGTGGCTCATTTAGTTATCTGATAGTTGTTTTTCCTGTCTTTGAAACTAATTTTTTTAAATGCTACTAATCTCTGTTGTAGAACATGGGGTGGGGATTTTCAAAGGAGCCTAAGAAGTTAGGCACTTACCTGTCTCCTTCATGCTCCTTGGAAAATTCCAGCCTTAACAGCTTAGCAAGAGAACTATTACAACTCTCATGCAGGTCAAAGGGTGCTGAGAATGTCATTACCTTGAAGAATGGGGCCTTTAGCATACACTGACGGGCTTTCAAAAAATCGCCACAATAAAGCTGCAAAGCAATGTGATGCCCTATACTGTTCATCCAGTAGCATATCTGTATAGCCAAACTCAAACATCAATCTCTGAACAGTCACAATGTAAAAAAATGTTACAACTTAATAGGAATGAGCAATTTAAAAAGCACCAATAGCAGAAAATGACTGCAGTATCCTGAGGAGGCAAGAACAGGTACTAATATAACCAGAGTATCTAGAGTAACCGGCAGCTAGAACTACATAACAATATCCAGGATACTATAGCCACAGGAGCCAGCTAGTACCAACTGCTGGAGCAAAATGATTCGTTGCATGGCTGGAGTCTGAATGCTAGGCTGGGAGAATACCATCAATAGTGGGACTAAGATGCTAAAGGACAGATTTTCAAAGATATTTATACACCTAAGCCCATTTGAAACCTAGCCCTAAGAGAAGCTTGAGCACTATGACGGACCTTAAACTCCCTCTCTCTTGTGAATGGGTAGGATTTAATCTTAGGGCTCATCTATACTAGGGAAACTTGCATCAGAATAGCAATACCATACTGATTCAAATTTCATTAGTATAGATGAGCTCTAACATTAAATCTTACCCATTCACAAGAAAGAGGGAGTTTAAGGTCCTCCATAGGGCTCTAGCTTCACTGTTAAATATGTTTAGGTGTCTAAATACCTTTTTAATATATCTATATTCAAATCTCTAGTAGAGATAGAACTTTAGCTGGGGTAGGCATAAGGACTGGACACAGCCCAAGATGGTGGCATGAGCTAGACATAGCCAGAGATGGAAGACTTTAGGCCAGTTTCAGCTAAGAGGGGAGAACTTTAGGCCAATCACAATTCAGGGGGTAGAGCAGGTGAAGAGGATTTTTAAATCTGTTATGACTCTGAAGTGGCCATAGCTGAAAGGGAGCACTTGAGAAAAGGGAGGAATACTGATTGTGTAAGGGGAAGACAATTGTGAGGATAAAATTGATAAGGAAAGCAAAGGGACCCCAGGAGAAATCTATAGCCAGCAGAGTTAAGGACAATAAAAAGGAGATTTTTTTAAAAGTATATTAGGAGCAAAAACAATCCTGACAATAGTGCTAGTCCATTATTAGATGGAAATGGTAGAATTATCAATAATACATAAAAGGCAGAAGTGTTCAATAAATATTTCTGTTCTGTATTAGGGGAAAAAACAAATGATAACATTATGGATGTTTCCATGCCACTAGTATCTCAGGAGGGTGATAAACAGAAACTACTAAAGTTAGATATTTTTAAATCAAAAGGTTCAGATGACTTGCATCCAAGAGTTTGTAAAGAACTGGGCTGAGGAGTTCACTGGATTGTTAATGTTGATTTTTTATAAGTATTTGTAAGGACATCCAGCCATGGCTGGAGCAAAAGTAGGTACAGGCTAGAGCTGGAATAGTATGACTGAACTACCAAGCATCTGTGGGAGTATCCACAACCAGGTAGTGATGCTGAGCTGACTGAAGTGGCTCCTTTCATTCGGAGTCTATATATCTGCCTTGGGGGCCATCTGGTTAGATCTTTGCTAGTGGATTGGCTGGATACTTAGGACTGAGGCTCAGAACATCCAGGCTCAGGGATAACTTATCAGGCTCAAAACACTCCTCACAGTCTTGGAATACAAGGGAAATTCCAGAAGACTGGAAGAAAGGTAATATTGCGTGAATACCAGTGACTCATGTAATTATAGGCCTGTCACACTGATATCAATCCAGGAAAAGATAATGGAGCTGCTGATACAGAACTTGTTTAGTAAAGAATTAAAGGTCAGTAATATAATTAATGCCAATCAACATGCATATACAGGAAATAGATTCTGTCAAACTAACTTGGTATCTTTTTTTGATGAGATTACAAGTTTGGTTGATAAAGGCAAGGGTGTTGATATAATATACTTAGACTTCCGTAAGGAATTTTACCTGGTACTGAATGATATTTGATTTAAAAATTAGAAAGATATCAAACTAATATTTACACATTACATGGATTAAAAACTGGCTAACTGATAAGCAGGGCCGGCTCTACCTTTTTTGCCGCCCCAAGCGGCGAAGCAAAGAAGAAAAAAAAAAAAGCGGCCACAGCAGGGCCGCCGAAGAAGAAGAAATGAAGAAGCTGCCGCCGAACTGCCACCGAGGAAGAAAAAAAGAAAAGGCTGCCGCCGAAGTTCCGCCGAAGAAGGGGGAAAAAAGAAAAGTTGGAGTGCCCCCCCTTCAGATGTGCCGCCCCAGGCACCTGCTTCCTTAGCTGGTGCCTAGAGCCGGCCCTGCTGATAAGCCTCAGTGTAACTGTAAACGGGGAATCATCACTGAGTGGGTGTGTGTCTAATGGCATCCCGAGGGGTTGGTTCTTGGCCTTAGGCTATTTAACATCTTTATTAATGACCTGAAAGAAAGAAAAAAATAAAATCATCACTGATAAAGTTTGCAGATGACACACAAATTGGGAAAGTGATAAATAATGAAGAGGACATGTCACTGGAGCGATCTGGATTGATTGGTAAACTGGGCACAAGAAAACAATATGCATTTTAATATGGCTAATGTAAATGAATACATCTAGGAACAAAGAATGTAGGCCATATGCACACGATGGAGGACTCTATCCTGGGAAGCAGTGACTGAAAAAAATTTGGGAGTCATCCTGGTTAATCAGCTGAATGTGAGCTCCTAGAGCGATGCTGTGGCCAAAAGAGCTAATGCAGGGGTTCTCAAACTGGGGGTTGTGACCCCTCAGAGGGTCATGAGGTTATTACCTGGGGGGTCGCGATCTGTCAGCCTCCACCCTCAAACCACACTTTGCCTCCAGCATTTATAATAGTGTTAAATATAAAAAATGTATTTTTAATTTATAAGGGGGGGTCGCACTCAGAGTCTTGCTGTGTCAAAGGGGTCACCAGTGCAAAAGTTTGAGAACCCCTGAACTAATGCAATGCTTGGATGCATAACCAAGGCAGTCTCGAGTAGAGAGGTTATTTTACCTCTGTATTTGGCACTGGTGCAACCGCTATTGGAATACTATATTCAGTTCTGGTGACCACAGTTCAAGAAGGACATTTATAAATTGGAGAGGGTTCAGAGAAGAGCCACAAGAATGATTAAAGGATTAGAAAACATGTTTTATAGTGATAGATACAAGGAGCTGAATCTATTTAGCTTAACAAAGAGATGGTTAAGAGATGACTTGATTATAGCCTACATGGGGAAAAAATAATGGGCTCTGCAATCCATCTGAGATTAGCAGAACACGATCCAATGGCTAGAAATTGAACCTAGGCAAATTCATGCTGGAAATAAAGCATACACTTTTAATAGTGAGAGTAATTAACCACTGTAACGATTTACCAAGGGTTGTAGTGGATTCTGCATCAGTGACAATTTTTAAATCAAGATTGGATGTCTTTCTAGGAGATATCATCTAGGAATTATTTTGGGCAAGTTCTATGGCCTGTGTTGTACAGGGCGTCAGAGTAGATGACCACAATGGTCCCTTCAAGGCCTTGGAATCTATGAATCAGTGTAGAGTTTCATTTCCAAATCACATTATGTTTTACTGGCTTCAATAGCTTTTCAAACTGAGGTTCAAAGGGATAATTTTGACCAGGCTTTTAGCAATTTGACAATTTTTATATAGTATGCAGATTCATGTACACAATGTGTTAGCAATATCCATCTGAATAAATCTGCCTACATTTTTAAGGGGAAATTTAATCTTCACATATGCCTCTTTAATATTTCACAAACATTGCACTTCATGTGAGTTAAATTTACATTTCCCCTGAGAATCATATGCATCTAAATACCAGTGATCTGATATTCACATTTTGTCTTCAATGTTCATACAAGGAAATCTCAGAATTTCTATAGTACTTTTTACCTTCCTAAATACAGGAAATCCTGGTTCTGCTTTATAAGAGGTGGAGAAATGGTTTAACTCAAGTGCTGCTAAATGTCTCCTTTCAAAATGTACTGTTTTTCAGGCTAACTATGCCTAACTGAGTCAAATTAGAAAGTTTTTAAAGAAGTGATAGTCACAACACTGACACGGGAGCTACTTATTTTCTCTCTAAATCATAAATGGATAAAGCGCACAGATTTCTCAGATCCATCTTAATTTTTACATAGACCTTAAAGACTATTAAATGAGAATCACAATTCTGTCAACACCAAAATATAACCATGCTTTTGAGGGGAAAAAATATATTTGCCATTGTCCAGTGAGAGAAGCAGCAAGATTTAGGAACTGAACTCAGGTCTAGGAGTTAGGAACACAAAAGTTCTAACCACAGTTGTCGGTGACTGGCTATAATCTTGGACAGGTCATTTAACTTTTCTATGTCTCATCTGTAAAAGAGAGAGAACATTATCAACTTCACCGACATGTTGTGAGGTTTGTTTACTTAATGTTTATGCTGCACTATATAGAATGTTTTATTATTCTTGTATATGATTTACAGATTTCTCTCTCTAGTTCAAAAGAAAGTGAACCCATAATGTTGCATATAGTTTTGTGGGGGGGGTGCATTTAATATGCTATTCTCTTAATTTCATAAGACACATCTCCTAATCTGATTTGGTGAAGAACCACAGGGGTGCTGGAAAAATGTGTATATTGGAGGTGCTAGGAGTCATTGAACCAATCTGTAAACCCTGTATATAATGGAAACCACTTCAAGCCAGGGGTGCTGCAGCACCCTTTATTCCAGCACCTATGCGACAGAGACTTTTTCAATGTCTTTCCTAGTATCCTTGACCTGTCTCTGTTCCCCACAAAAAGATTCTTTTCTGGGTTTGCTAGGGCAAAAATGTTTGTAGTTCACGTGAAACTTCATGCTGAAAATTCTACTTTTATAATGGTCACAGAATGATATGGGAATTTGAAAGAAAACGTTTCTACTAATTACAAAGTAATTCACCCCAGTGCTGTAGTAAAAACAGAAATACCGCTCATAGATCTTAATAATTCTGTGTCCCCTGAAAAGTGTTAACATATCAGTTTGGTCGTTTGTATTTTAAATAAAGTTACTTGAGAGGGGATGGAACCTGCAGGATTGCTGGCCCTCACACCCGAAGTCTGATGAAGGAGTACCGCACATTCACCTGCAGTGCAAACTTTGCTGGCTCCCTTGCCAGGGTGCCTAAACTAAGCCCTGACTGGGAGAGAACACTTACAGCGATGCGAAGGTAGATACGTTTCCATATCCTTTAAATGCTTGGTCTTTATTCTGAGACTGCCACCAAGTTATGTCAATTTGTATTGGCTTGGACTAGACGTGAGCTGACAACATAGAGAGGAAGGTTTAAAGCCGTGTGTGTGAGCCATGCATTTCTCCAGAAATTGCCGCTAAAAACAAAAGTCCAGCCATGCAAAATCGAGTATATGAACTCTGAGTGAAAAGGGTGGTACTTACTGCAGCTCTGGGGAGAAAGAAGAGCCCGGTGGACTGCTTTCTGCTTCTCTTCGGTTCCCTGAGCTAGACAGAGCTCCGATCTCAACGAGAGTCTCCCCGTGTCTGCCTGTGATATGTCCTCCCCTGCAGCCTCAGGGGGCGGCATTGCACACAGCCTTTCGTTCAGTTTTGATTTCCCACTGAACACGCTGGAAGCATAGAAAGTGAAACTCAAGAGCTGCTGCGGTGACGGTTTTATATGGACAAGATGAGGCTGCTCCTCCCTTTTCAGCCAGGCGGACACAGAAGCTAGCGGGGTGCAGTGACTCAGCTCAGAGTCTAGCTTTTAAATTAAAAGTTTGAAGGGAACCCTGGCCCGCTTCTTTAAGGTATCCCCCCACTGTTTCACACAGCACTCTCTTGCTTAGGGGAAGAATCCCAGCACAGGTACGGGGGTGAAGGGAAGGAGTCAGGAGCAAAAAGCGGGAATACAGAAAAGGGAACTTCTAAACTCTGCTGAGGCACTCGCATAGAGTCATTGATCACTGCTTTGAAATGCAGTTAGATTAAAAAACAACACTCTAAGGCAATTAGAGAGACAGGTGGGTGAGAGAGAACCTCACCTGCCTTGTCTTTCCAATATGCTGGGCCCAATAGGGCTATATAACTCTCCAGACTCTCAGGCAATGGTATGTGAAGGGGACAGGATGCCTGCCATTTGTGGGGGAAAGAGGAATCCTTTCCTGTGGCAAGCTGTCTATTTTTTGCAAAGGTGGCTGTTCCAAGAAGGTTAGGGGTTGAAAAGTTTTGTGTTCCAGGAAGATGGATTACTGGGCGGAGGGTGTTGTCAAAGGTATGTGATCTATTTCCCAGACATTTTAGATTGGAAAAGGTGTTTACTAGAGAAGGGATGATTCCTGTACTGCAATTCTGCTCCTCTGAGGATATCATTTCACAACATTCTCCTTCACCCAGAGTTTGAAGGGTGGGGATGTCTCCATCCATTGATGTTTATGTCTGCATTCTTTAAACTGTCTTCTGCTTTTGAGACATGCTTTCTCAATCAGCATTATTTGGTGGTTGGTTTAATTTTTTATCTGATAGAAGTGACAGCCGTGTGATGAATTGCACAGGCAAGTGAAAAATTTGATTACCTTTGACGACCTCATCTGTCCTCTGCCTGCTAATCCATCCCCTCACTGGATTTACTCTAACAAGACTGCAAGTCTTCTAACAAGAAATTCTGTCAAAGAAGCAGTTGCTGTAGATACTCCAATCAATAACATAAGAACGGCCATACTGGGCAGACCAATGGTCCATCTAGCCCAGTATCCTGTCTTCCAACAGTGGCCAGAGGGAATGAACAGAACAGGGCAATTTTGAAGATCCATCCCATCGTCCATTCCCAGCTTCTACAGTTGGAATTTAGGGACACCCGGAGCATGGGGTTGCGTCCCTGACCATCTTGGCTAGTAGCCATTGGTGGACCTTGTGATGGAATCCTTGGGGTGCAGCCTGGGACTGTGTGACCACTGTGCCCCCTTAAACCTCTCCAGCCTGGGCTGTCTCTCACAATGCTTTGCTAGTAACAATCAGCAAGTCCTTCCAGGTACTGTGATCCCTCAGCACAACAGCAAGTGGAGCCCCGCACCCAGCTATATTGCATGAATGCTCCCAGAGCCACTCATGAATCACACCGAGAAAGGCGCCACAGCCATATCCCTCCAGCTCCCAGAACTGTACCTCAGGAATATATGGTCTTGCACTGCTCAAGACGAGCAATGCAGATTTATTAATTGGTTCACCACTTCATCGATGGAAAGTGGATATACACCAGCCTTTGCAAAACTTGAGCAGATTTGCCACACACTTCATACAAACTCACTGGTAAAGATAAACAGTAAAACAAATTTGACTACAAAAAGTAGATTTTAAGTGATACCTGTATTAAGTGATGGGCAAAAAGTCAGAGTTAGTTACCAAAATATATATATATATAAGCACACAGTCTAAACTCTCAACCCTATTAGACTGGGCAACATCTAGACTAAGCAGTTTTTCTCACCCTACTGGATATTGCAGTCCTTAATATACAGATTTGTCACTTAAATCTGGGCCAGTATCCTCTGTTGGAGTCTTCTGTCTTCTCAGTGTCTTTGTTGCTTGCAGTGTAGGTGGGTGAAGGAGAAAAGACCCCGCATGTGGCCACTGTGTCTGTTTTATTACCTCAGTCCCATGTGGTTGGGGAGCACAAGTCCAGGAATATCTGGGGGCATTGCTGAGTCTCCAGGCGTGGTTGAGCAGTTCCCCTGGTGTGGTGTCATGCAGGTGAGTGATTGTATTGTAGCTCCCTTCTTGGACAGTGGTTGTTGATGAGTTGATTGATACCCGTCCCCGGTGTTGGTTACTTTCCTTGCTGTTGCCTCTGGGGAGCTTGTGACGTTGTGCAGTCTATATGGTTTTATAAAAATATGATAATTAGTGATTATAATATAACTGGGATATGCTTCATGCAAAAGGTCTCTTGTAAGGTATCATTACAAAGCTTATAATCTACTGAGTGTGATCATCCTATTTGTATAAATGTACCACTCTTGTATCTGAAACTAGAAATATGAAATATAACTCTGAGGGCCTATTGTCATTATGCAAAGTGTGGGCCATTAATGGTGGTTTGGAATCTTGATGACTCCCATTAACCAGGACCATTGTCTGCAGATGGCTGTGTTTTACCTGTGAGTCTTCCTGTATACGTGTGTGCTGGCAAGTGAGTAATGAAGTCTTGCAGTGACATGTGATC